GCAGTTGATCCTGCAGTACATCCCGCACGTCGTTCCTCACAAAAACGTGAGTTGCGCCAGAGCTGGGCTCCTTATGCGTCTTTCTGTTCCACCACGTGATTCCTGACTGTCCGTCTTCCTGAGAGCGACTGGGAAATGAGTAGATGAGATGGTTCATTCGGTAAATGCACGTGCTGCTTGGCTCTGACTCTGTGCCTGGTGTTGTGCTAAGTGCTGGGGGTACAGACGGTGTGAACTGGCAGTCCGGGTGCTGGGCTGCATGCTCTGGGGATGGGTGCTGTGGGCCCCCAGGGAAGGGGGTCAGGAGAAGGCTCCAGAGGCAGAAGTGGACAGTGTTGCCGGGCCCCAGGTGAGAGAGAATATGGTGCTGTTCAAGAACCAGGTGGATGGTCTGGAGAGAGCATATAGGAGCAAGTCAAGAAAAAAGGCTGAGGATGTTGATCGGAGCTGCAGCCTCGTAAACCAAGGGCTGCAGCTTGGATTTTGTCCAGAGCCGTTGGAGAGTTTTCAGCTTTGGAGGCACCTGTCAGCTCTGCTTCAGAAACATCCTCTGGCCGTAGCGTCGGGGACTGGCTAGAGCAGGTGTCATGGCAGACTGGCCTGGACTCGGTGGCCACAGGAGTAGAAGGGGGATCAAGAGATTTTTAAGGAGGTGGCATGTCTTTAAAAGAGAATAATGACATTCAGGAGAGGGAGAGGAGTAATGCAGAGGATGCTCAGGGTTTGGCTTGGGTGCCCAGATGCTGCAGAGAGTGATTCCCGGACGAAGGAGCACAGACAGGAGCCAGTCTGGGAAGCTGGTCAGGTCAGCTTTGCACAGGTAGCACGCGATGCGTCTGCAGCTCCTCAAGACCAACAGACGTGTGGGTCTGGAGCTCAGGGGAGAGGTCTGAGCTGGAGGTAGACTCGACACACAGACAGCACCCAGATGGCCTAACTGCATTCACAGGTGGGGACAAGGTGGCCAGGAGCCCGAGGGAGTGGGAAGACCAGAGGACGGAGGCCGGAGCCCAGGCCTGCGTTCTCTCATGTGTTACCGTCATGCCATCTGCCCTCTACGCTGGACCTCTCCCTCTTTCTTGATCTCACTTGAGTGGTTGGCTTATATAACGCCTTTATCATTTTCATTAACACTTGTAAAAGCCTTCACTCCACCCGCTTCACACACAGCACTTCACCCTCTGCGCTCTTTTATGTTGCTTTTACACGTTTATGTGCACTCCATCTCCCCACGGGGACTTGAGGCCTCTCTCTTGTTCTGGCCTAGAAGCCTAGCGCCACGTGCGGCGGGCAGGAGCTCTGTAGTGTGGTGGTCTGTGCGTGGGCTCTGTTCCCCCATCCACCAGCTGTGTGACCTTGAGTGACAGTTTCTTCGCCTGCAAAATGAGGGTAACGATTCTTATCCACATGTCCCCTGTGGTCACCAAGGTCTTCTCCCCGTGAGAGCTGGTTAAGGTCACCCCACACCTTCTTCCACACCCCACGGGAACCCACAGCCTCATCCAGTCTGCCTGTGATTCCTGGGAGGCCGGTGTTCCTGTGGTCGCCTCTGTAGTTCTGCCTGTGTGTCCACTGTCTCTGCCCCGTACTCAGCCTGGATGTGAGGCTCGTCCTCTGCGTCACGTTCCAGAAAGCAGCACCCCTTGTTCAGGTGATCACGCTAAAGATTTGGGGGTCACAGGAAGCGATTGTGCCACCTGGCCCCACACCCGTTGAACAACTGCTTGTCTCCGGTTCCCGTACCGCGGAGCAGAGGCGAGAGTGCCCTCCGTCCGCGTCACCAGCCTCCCTTGCTGTTCCTCAGGCCACGCTCTCCCTTTTGCGTTGCCCGGATCTCCGAGAGCTTTGGCCATTACTCAGAGCACGTCAGGCCTTATTTCTGTAAACCAGCCACATCGCGCTCCTTCGCTGGGTAGTCCCTCCGTCGATGCATCCCCCTTCTTCCCAGATTGTTGGCGATTGCTTTTTCCGGTACGCCGTGTTCACGTCAGAGCTGGTGGGGTGACCACGTGAACGTGCTCTGGCCGCCCCTGGAGTACAGCTGGCCTTGTTACTGACGCCGTCGTCATCGTTACTGTTACCGCTGCTCTTATTCGTAGTTAACGACGCTCTTGACTTTGAGGGAGGTTTACATTTTTCAGAAGGCAGCTGTGGCTGGAGTTATTTGTCCATTCCGCTGCCATGATTTGGGTGCCGTTCCTGCGGTGGTTCTGAAACCCAGGATGGGGTCAAAGGTCATGCTCTCCTAAAGGGACTTGTCAGAATCTTGAGAATGGGAGGGAGTTTTGTTTTTGTTTTTAATTGAAGTGTATCAGTCTGCAATGTTGTGTTAATTTGGTGGGGGGCAGTTTGGTTTTTTGTTTTGTTTTTTTTTTGGAGCAAGTTCTATTTAAATGACTATTGAGAAATGTTACTGGTGGGACTGCAGTGTGCTTGAGGACACAGAGGAGGCAGATTAAAAAGTCAGGGACCTTTATACTGTAGCAGCATTTAAAATTTTTCTGACAGTGAGGAAAATTCCCTTTGAAACATTTCTGTTTTTTAAATTCATGATATAAATGTCCTCTAAAGCAGGCACGGCTCTATCAGCAGCCCCTGTAACTCGTGCTGCCGCCAGGTTTTTATGGTGGCTCGTTGACTAAACCAGGTGACTGGTCATAGCTGGGCTCTGGCTGCAGCCAGACCGCCCCTCCCAGAACCTCTCTCCCTTGGCACATATTTGGCTGTACTTCTCATTCCCAGGAGCGTTTTGGGGGCAATGTTTACTGTTCTCACAGGACACTTCTAACCTGTAGCTCACATCAGAGTGGCCCGTTGTGGGGGCCTCTCACATGCTTAGATTTCGTTGATTTTGTACAGTGTGCCCTGGGTGATCCTCAGTTGCTGACCCCATTTCTGGTCTCCCCTTCGCTTGTTCCAGAGAGTTCTCCTGTTCCGCAACATGGTGACCAAGGAGAAGGAGAAGCTGGGGCTCGTGGAAACCAGCTCCGCCTCCCCTCACGTCACGCACATCACCATCCGCCGGTCCCGGATGTTGGAGGTGAGGCGCCTGCGGCAAGGCAGTGTGTTCTGTGCGTGTGTGTCTGTTCCCTCTGAACTGTTCTTACTGCTCCGGGACCCAGTGACACTGAAACCAAGGCTCTGGGGGCAGGAAAGGGCCCTTTTGTCCTGCCACCTGCTCTGAGAGCTGCTTGATGAAGCCTGTCCTCAGTGCTGGAGACCCACAGCGCAGCACCTCCCTCCCGTGACCCCACGAGGGCAGAGCATCAGACGATTTGTGCCTCTGAAATGAGGACAGACATTCTCGTGTTGGTGCCAAGTCCATTTGTCCAGGCAGGCACTTTGCCCAGACTCCAGTTCTGAGCCTGGAGGCTGGAAGCGGGGGTTAAATTACTGAGCTGTAATGGGAAGTCCATCCATCACAGAGCCACGAGTTCTTTGTGGACATAAACTTAGGAGAAGCACGTGAAGTGGCTGACCTTAGCCAAACCCAGCGTCCAGGGTTCCCACTGTGCGGCTGCTTCACGTAAATTAGAAATAGGGGCCTGTCCTCACAGTACTGTCCTCCGTGTGTCAGGAAATTGTCATAACATATCGATTCTATTGGAACAATACCTCGTAACATTGTCATAATAAATGTGTGCACCTGCAGTGTCCCCGTTATGTGTCCACAGCCTCCCCAGGGTTGTGCAGTGCACAGCCTCCCCGTTTGTACTGCTCCTGCACATGTGGTGACTGAGCCCCAAGCACCCATTCCAGGAGCGGCTTGGCTTGATTCGTTTGCCCATGTTTACTCCTTAGACCTTTTATCACACACCAGCCACGTTCTGCAGTGTAGGACAGTCACAGGATCCCAGGACAGCACACGGCCGCATCGCCAGCCACCAGCAAATGAGCAGCCGCCCTTCTTCCCCACCCAGTTTCAATTTCTCCCTCATGGCATTTGTACCGTGTTTGTGGCTGCTTCCTCAAGAGGTTGTCTCAGTTCTCTGACCACTGGTGGTTGACACTGATGTCTGCTGGGGAAAGGCAGCGTGCTGTAAACAGATGATTTTGACATTCTTAAAAGTAGAGATAAATGGAGGTGCCCCCAGGGGCGCCACTGCCATGGGACTGAGTAATGCCAGCTGGGAGTGTCTCAGCCCAGGAGCCTTTTGTGTGTGTGCTCAACAAATAGAATTATCCTCCACTTCCACTGCTCCCTCCTGTTTTTCTGGAAATATAGCCCTTGGATCAACCCCATGAGTGAGTTGATAAATGACAGCTGACAACCAGCGTCAGCACTGGGGCATAGGAGAGGGTAGGCAGGCGGAGAACACGTGCCCCTAGGAGAGGCCGCCTGACCTTGGCCATGTGGAGATTTAAGCTCCACAATGCTCTGGCTTTTTAAGAGAAGACCAAAATTTAGGGTTTTGGTGAAATCCCCAGACTTTGTAAAGTACCTGGAAGGCCAGAGAGCACCTGTCTGCCCACTTGAATTCGTCCTGCAGGCCACCAGCTTGCAGCCTCTGCTTTGACTCGAAGAAGGAAAAGCCCAGTTGTGTTGGAGAACTCCCTTCTCCAGTACTTTCTTCGCCCAGATGCACCTCTCCTGCCTCTTAAACGCCTCCATTCCAGCGCCTGCCACCCTGACTCCCATGTGGCCAGCACAGCGGGGAGTCTGAAGTCGGGGAAACTGATGTCTCCTGAGAGCTGCAGAATCCCCGACTCCCTTCTTAGGTGTCTCTGGGAGATTCACCAGATATCCACTTAGCCTGGGCCTGCTTTTTTATTTTATTTAAAATTTGTGTGTGTGTGTGTGTGTGGAGATTTTAAAATTTAGTTGTGTGTGTGTGTGTGTGGAGAAGGCAATTAGGTTTACCTAATTATTTATTTAATGGAGATACTGGGATTGAACCCAGGACCTTGTGCGTGCAAAGCATGCGCTCTGCCATGGGGCTGTACCCTCCCCTTCCATGCTCTTTTAAACGCATCCCTCAGGGTCAAAGGAGGAATGTTTGCTTGGGTTTAGGCAAAGTCTGTTTTCCTCTTTACGTTTCATTGCAATAGATCATGTCGTGAAGTTGATCACTGGCACTCATATTGAATGAGGAAGGCAAGAGGGTCGTTCATTCAATTACCCAGTGGTCCTCCCGATTCAGTGGTTTGGTTATTAGAACTTGAGAGCCCAGTGGCCTTTGCTTGATTTGGACTCAAGGGGGCATCAAAAAGCTGATATGAGACTCCTTTTTATCCTGTCCCCTTTTTTATGGTTTGTACTGAAGGTGGGGCTTCTGTATTAGGCTCCCAGGTGACGGTCTAAAGTCCTGCAGGAAGGCCTCCCCTCACAGAGGGTGACCGGGGACTGGAATTCCAGCAGAACTGATAGGAACCGTAGACAAACCCTTGCCCTGTCAAAGGCAGGACTGGGGCCAGAGGAGTCACTTTGGTGTCAGTGACAGAGCTGGACCTGGAAGCTGGCTCTCCCGTCCCCAGGTCAGTGTTCTGTGTCTGCTCTTTGAGATGCAGTAGAGAAAAGGAGTGCCCTGTCCCCGCTCCCATGGGGCTCAGACAGAATTCTCTGTGCAGCGACCCCAGTGCCCAGAGGGCAGGGGTGCAACAGGAAGTATGTCAGAGGAGGCAGGCAACAAATTCCTCTCTACGTTTCAGAGGGGAGGCTGAAGTGGAGCTGATCCAGCAAAACTGTGATCTGAGTCCAGCCAGGATTCCTGGAGCACCTGCCGTGGTCTCGCCGCTTGTTAAGTGGGTTCACCTGCGCTGTCTCATTTACTCTACTTGACAATCGCGCACCTCCCAATGCGTGTCAGCGTTAGGGAGGCAGCACTTCAAAGCAGAATAGAGGGAATCCTGCAGGCGAGCAGGGACATGTTAGAATTCTCTCCCCGTCCCTGACTTGATGCCAAGATAATTATCTTAAATTTAGGCAGAATGATTTAAATCCTGCAGCAGCTGCATGATGACTTCCTGTTTTTCTCTTCTTTTCATCTAACTTAATGGTTTTTGAATTTCATGTGCATAAAAAGTACTTTTCAGGGTTATGTGATCAAAACCATGTCCTTGTTCCTATGGGCGACCTAGGGGACTTCAGAGGTCATTTTTTTCCCTTGCTCACTAACTTTGGAGCCCAACTCCGAAGTTAGGTGGGGAGCCACCGTGGCACAGTCCTTTGGGTCAGTAAGTGAGCACAAGGGAAGTGGGATCAGCAGGAAGGCAGCAAAGCTTCCCCAAAACAGGTCTTGCTGTCCTGGCCTCATTTGCTTTGCGACAAGGAGCCAGACTGGCAGACGAGTGGGTGCTGCGGATGTGGTCTGACATCAGCAAAGCATCTGGGAGCGCTGCCTTGTGACGGGAGGAGAGATGCGGGGTGGCCTCAGTAGGATGTTGCAGCTGATTCGTCACTTACGTGACAGTAACCTAAGGCATCAATTTGACCCTGGTTATGGATCCTCTCACGCTGGACCAAAGGACTTATCCCTGGGCTGTCCTGTTCTGCACTGGTTTTTGTAATCACTGCTCTGAAATGGAAACCTATGCAGCTTGCCTGTCAGCGCCCACATGCCCGGAATACATTCAGTGACAGAGTCAGGATCCTGGAAGACCTCAACAGGTCAGAATCAAGAAATGACTACACATGGTGATTTAGTGGGAGAACCCTGAGGTTGGGTCCTGGAGTCTAGACAGGGAGATGGGCCTAATGGCCGCATGTCTTAAGGGAGCTGACCGCAAGCCAGAGGTTGTGCTGAGGGCTCTCTCCGCCCTACTCCTGCCCTCCTCCAGGCCCAGCATCACTCCTGCACCCATCTCCCTTCTCCTGCCATCCCTCTGCTTTGCTTCTGACAGAAGGCTCTCCCTGAGACAAAAAGCTAGCCATGTCACTTTCTGCCTGAACTCTTCTATAGCTCCCTATCACCCTCAGGACATAACTTAAATTCCTCAGCATGACGCACAGCCTTTCACGATCTGGGGAAAGCTACCAGGAGCCAAGCAGTGGGGCGTACTTTTATTTTTTCTTATAGCATTCTGTAAATTTGATTGATTCGGTTTTTTTTTTTAAACTGTGAGCTAGAAGAGTCTTAGCTTTAAAATACAGGCGATCTCATCTCAGTTTCTTCCATCCTTTGTCTGGTGGCCAAGAGCTTGTCATGACTCATCTTGTCTGATTTCTCCGTCTCACTGCTCTGCATCCTCTGGAGGGCAGTCTCCCCTAACCAAAGAGTGGTAAAAGTCACATCCTCAAAATGAATTTTTCTTTTAACAGGCTCTCACTGAGAAGCAGGTGAAAACTGCTTGCTCTTCTCACACACCCATGCGTCCTGACACACTCAGTAATGACACTCAGAAGGCTTCACCAGGGGAGTGGGAGCTCTGAGGAGGGAGCCCTGAATTATGCAGAGGGCCTTGGGTTCCTAATGGGCTATCATTCTGCCCCTGCAGGACGGCTACGAGCAGCTCCGGCAGCTCTCCCAGCACGCCATGAAGGGCGTGATCCGCGTGAAGTTTGTCAATGACCTCGGGGTGGACGAGGCAGGGATTGATCAAGACGGCGTTTTCAAGGAGTTCTTGGAAGAAATCATCAAGAGGGTGTTCGACCCGGCACTCAACCTGTTCAAGGTATTTAAGGGGAGCAGGGGCGCGGCTGACAGCAGCCAGATTCCTGGTGACAGACGAGAAGTGAAGGCCTGGGCTTGCTCGTGGCAGGGCACTTCACCTCCCTGCCTCTGCCCTCTTTCTGCCTTGCAGACAACCAGTGGGAATGAGAGACTCTACCCTTCGCCCACGTCCTACATTCATGAGAATTACCTGCAGCTCTTTGAGTTTGTGGGCAAGATGCTGGGGAAGGCTGTGTATGAGGTAGGCACGTTGAGGAGCGTTGAACTTGAATGGAAAATAAAATGGTGTAAGTGCCTGAGGTATGTGTACAACCAGGCAGAAAGTGTCAGCCACCTGTCGTTAGATAAAGTCAAGGAAAAAGAGACGGGAACCAAGATCACTGGGCAGAAACACTGGGTGCTTTCCACGCGTTGTCTCATTTAGTCCTCTCAGCAGTCCTGTGGGGTGCCTGCCGCTGTCCTGTTCACATCTGATTGAGATAACCGAGGCTTAGAGAAGTCCCTGGTCCACAGTCTCATGGTTAAGAGGGAGAAGCTAAATTCGAACCTGCCGGCGCCAGGCTCCCAGAGGCGCTGTCCAGTTGCAGAAGGGCAGCATCTCGTCGGGTTTGGTGGTGGTTAGCATTGCTCTCGGATCTTTCGTTATCTGAGCGAAGGCTTTGACGTGGGCCTGAGGTGCCTGGGACTGGGGAATGGAGCCCACAGCCCCTGGCCGAGACCGGCCTTCCCCGCTCACCATGTGACTGCCGGACAAGTCGCTGTGTTTCTTTAGACCCCTGTTCCTGTCAGTGAAGTGGGGGTAACAGAGCTGGGTGATTAGGGCGCTGGGGGTGATAGATGAGGTGATGCAGCTAAGACACCTCCTGTGGTGCCTACACCTGGTCACAGGAGACGTTAGAGCTGCCTTCCTCACTGCTGTTAGGAGGAAGGGGCTCTGAGCGTCCCCTCCAGGTCCCTCCGTCAGGGCGGCATGGACTCCACAGGCTCCTGATCCCCTCACTGCTGAGGAGGGCACTTGACTCCCTGCCCTGAGGGCCCTGCTCCCCGGGAGGAAGTGAGGCTGTAGCTCAAGCTCAGCAGCAGCCCGTCCTTGTGGCCTTCGCAGCGGGCTCCAGAGCCCAGAGGACTGTGCCCCCCGCCCCGCGCCCCCAGGGCTGGGCCCTGCCTAGCTCCCAGTCCAGGCGCCCAGGAGGCGGGCAGCGCTCACCTCACACAGCCCGGCAGGGGTTAGGGGGACCAGGATGCCTTCCAGATGCAAAGAGCCCACAACACAGCTGGGGCAGGCTGAGAGGGAGGCTGTGGGGGGCGAACATGCTTGGACTACTTGAATAATCCCCCGTTCTCTCTGTGTAAACAGCCCTGGTCCTGCTATGATGATGTCAGGTGCCCCATCTGAGTCCAGACACCTGGACCCCTTCCTGCCCTGGTGGGGTGGCCTGGGCTCATTCTCTGTGCTTTTGTTTCTGCGTGTGCAAAATGGAGACAATTTCTCATTTGATTCCCCTTTAAAACAAAACAAAATAAAAAAACAACGGGGCCCTGCTGGAGCATATGCCATGTTTTTCCTTTGACCGTGTAGTTGTGATGAGACGTGGAGGAGTCTGGGCCAGCTGAAAAGCGTGACTTCCTGGCTTTTGTGAGTGTCCCCCCTGTTTCCTGGGCCTGGTCTCTGTCTCCTCCCTCTTCAGCAAAAGGACATCCTGGGCCCTGGGGAGCAGCTAGTGTTAACTCGCTTAACCCTCGTGATCCTCTGGGACAGGCCGTCCTAGAATTTGATTGCCTCTCCCTTCTAAATCTCTCCAGCACATACACCCTTCTCCACCCAGAACAGCCTGCCCGCAGTTCCTGGTGTTATGTAACGGCTTCCTGGCTGTATCCCTGCTTCCAGTCCATTCCCCCAGGAAGTACATATCCGGCACTTACCTGCTGAGAACCCTTCCAGGGCCCCCTGCTGCCCTCAGGATAGAATCCAGACTCCAGGAGGCTTATGAGCACTTCCTGATCCGGCCCTGCCTGCCTTCCCAGCCTCTTCACTCACCTCCGTCCCACATACACTGTGCTGTGGCTGACAGATCTATGTTCCAGCCCTGGAACACACCTGGGCCTCGTACATATGGCCTCGTGCTCCTCTCGGTCTAGCTCAACTACGTCCTCCTGGATGCTTTTCCCACCCTGCCCGTCAGATTCTTAAAACAGGCTGTGCTGGTCCCCACTTACAGATGACAAAGATCAGATGTCCTCTGGCTTGGCAGCCCCAGAGCTGGAATTTGATCCCTGAGCTGTGCGGCCGCAAAGCCCAGGCTCTTAACCATGGTGCTGTAACGCCTGCAGGAGGCACTGTGTGTAGGCGACAGGGAGGTGTTGCTCTCCAGATTATGAAGCGTCTAGAGGTGTCCTTGGTGCCCTCGGAGCCCCCTCTGCAGCCTGAGCCACCCCGGTGAGATGACCAAGACGGAGCACTGGCGGCAGACGACGAGCTCCTGTCTCTCTCTCCCAGGGAATCGTGGTGGACGTGCCCTTTGCATCCTTCTTCCTGAGCCAGCTGCTCGGGCACCACCACAGTGTCTTCTACAGCTCTGTGGACGAACTGCCCTCTCTGGACTCCGAGTTCTATAAAAACCTCACTTCCATTAAGGTCAGTGTGGAAGGCGGATGGCTTAGCTGAGTGCTGGTGTGAACTCAGCACAGGGAAGGCCCTCGAGATTCAGCCTTATCCCAGCGTTGTGGGTGGGATGAGATTTCCTGCTCTGGTGAGGGGACCTGCTCCATTCCAAACTGAGGATTATGACTTAAAGACGGGGAGGAAGCCACCTGACAGGCTCCTGTGTCCCCTTCTGAGCACTTCCTCCCAGGACCGACGCCACAGCCTCCTTCCTCCCAGTCGTGAATGGCCTTTTCCTCTGCTTCAAGTTGTACGGTCATCACAGTGGTTACAGTCCGAGCAGATGTCACAGGAGGGGAGTGTTAAATTCTTCAAGGACACAGCACTCCTTGGCCCCTACATTGTCCTTTCTCTATTGCTTTAGCGGTACGATGGGGACATTGCTGACCTGGGCCTGACACTGTCATATGATGAGGATGTCATGGGTCAGGTAGGTGGGCCTCTGTGGCCAAGCTTTCTTCCGCCTTCTTCCATTGGCTTCCTGAGACCTGCCCTATTCTGGGTGTTTTCCGCAGGAGACCCACAGACTGGGGCTGTCTGTCTGTCTGTCTGTCCGCTCTTCTCCTCTGCCCCACCCGGCCGGGAGGGAGCGTGCTCCACTTCCCTCCCCAGGTGACCCAGCTTCGCCTGCTTGCCCCCCAAGGAGTCCCCACAGAGACTGTGCTCTGCTTCGAGCTCACTTCAGGGTCGTTCCTCATGGTCGTCCCCCTTTGTAACACTGCTCTGTGTTACCATGGTGAGGATTAGCCGTTCCAAATGGAGGATTATGACTTAAAGACAGGCAGGAAGCCACCTGACAGGAAGGGCCTTGAACAGAATCCTGTCCTTGCGTCTACTCTGCACAGAGAGCGGAGCAGGGAGAAAAGACCCTTGAAGCCGTGATGGCAGAGGGCTTCCCCCAGACTTTCTTCTTCCCGCTTTTCTCTTAAGGGTCCCCAACGCCGCCAGTTGCATCCCCGCACACCTGCGTGAGCCCGTGTGCATAGGGTCTGAGGGCTCCTCTGGCTTGTTGGCGTGGGGCCGGCTTCTTGGAGCCTCAGAGAGGTCACTTGGTCCCCCTAAGCCACATTTATCTTAAAAAGTGCTATTTGCCAAATATGAGTCCTTCCTGGGACCAGTGTCACCAGATGCTCTCTAGACACTTGCGTGCCCTGCCCTCCTCCCAGAGAGCCACCGAGCACACTGGCAGGATGGGGCGCTGGGACACGTCAGTTACGTCAGCCTCAGCTTTCCCCAGTCGTCCGGTCACAGAACTCCTCTTTCAGGGAAGGAATGCCATCTCCCAGACTGGTTCTCCAGATGAGAGCGCACAGACCAGGTGTTCCCTGGAACCCTTTGTGGGAAACACCAGGCTAGGCGATCCCTCAGGGCCCACCCATCCAGCTTTAAAATCCCGCGGCGTGCCCCGAGACATCATAGCGGCGGGACTAGCGGGCACTGGTTTCCCTTCCTACCTGCTTCGAGTTACAGTGTATCATAGTAGTAGAATCTTTATTAAAATTCACTTTAAAATTATGCATTCTTGGATTTCGAAAGTTGAGGAAAGCAGTTGATCTAGACCATCTTCAAATCTTTAATCAGATTTGAGCCTTCTCCCTGACATTCTCAATTTTCTGTCCTGACTATAAAAATAATGCAAACTTCTGACCAAAAATTCAGCTCCAGTATGAGTGGAAAGGTGAAAATGAAAACCACCTAGAGTGCCCAGTGGCGAAGAGGGCCCCCGTCAGCACGTGGCCTGAGCCCTTTCAGGCTGCTTCTCCTTGGACACGTGTATCATTTTTTGTAGAAATGATACCATTTGATGCATCCTGTTATATAAGCTGCTTTTTCCCCCCACCCCTTCAAGAAATACACATTTTCACCTTATTTTTAATAGCGGCACAGCATTCCAGGGTATGGTTGTCTCAGCTTTTATATAACCGTCCTCTGGTGCTCTTCATTGCTAACACTTTCCCCTCCACGACACCCCAAAGCCTTAGGACAGATGTTTGCAGAGAGAACCGTTTGTACGGCTCACACAGGGCCTGCTTGTGGATACCTAATCCCCGGCTCTTTGTGAAAATGATTGTCCCCAGACACGTCTCATCTTCATTCTGTCTTCATTATGGATGTTGGCGTCAGGCCCTTTCATCTTCAGGAAGCTTTATTTCCTCATTAGAATTCTCTCGAGTAATTGTCCCCCCTTCCTCTCTCTCCCCCAGCTTGTTTGCCATGAACTGATTCCTGGAGGGAAGACCATCCCTGTTACAAATGAAAATAAGTGAGTATAGCAATTAGATTTTTAAGGTCACCACTTGAGAAGACTTCATTCTGGCTCTCCGGGCTTACTTTGAGAATTTATTAAGATAGATTGAAGTAGAAAGAGGCCATAAATATCATAATGGAATTTACTGGTTACAGTTCATAGGCCGAAATCGTATTAAATTCGATTTGCAAAGTAAGAATTGACAATTCATTTTTTGCAATAGCACTTCTGAGGTCAGAGGCACCCGGGCCGCGGTGTTCCTAGGAATTCAGTGACAGCTCTAGAAGCAGACAGATGGATTCTGAGCCACTGGGGCACACAGTCCTGAACCCAGGAGGCACGGAGGCAGAAGACTCCTTGGAGGGGCAGGTCATTTTGGAATGATGGCATGTGGCAGTTGTATAAAACACTGGTCTTGAGAAGACACAATGATGAATTCACATGCAGCAGACGGGTCCTTAGACATGGCGAGGCTCTGAGGCCCGGCAGCTATTGTCACAGATAACAGGCTTTTCGGAACGTATCATAAATGTCAGCCTCTTTGGTCCCTCGAAGCAAAGCCCCTTGATGCGCATCTCCACCCAGCCCTGTTCTCACCTAATTAAAACTGTAGGACCTGGCAGAGGAGTAGATATTGGCTCTTTGTCACTCTTATCAATCTTCTCCTGCCACCAGGCTCAGCTGAGCATCTGAACTGTTAATCTGAGCATCACTCCCTCAGTGACAGGTGAGAACTTAGTACCAACCCAGCAAGTCATTTGGATCAGATGCACGTCACAGCCCAGGGTCCCTGAGCATCACCTCAGGTCGGATGGGTCAGTCGCGCTCTTGGGGAGCTTTTATTTAGGCTGTCAGCGTAGTCAGGAGAGCAGACCCGATTCTCATCATGACTGAAATACACCAGTTTTGACTCTTGGCCACAGGGCGTTAGTGTGACGGCCGAGAAAGAACAGGGAACACAGATAGGGAGGAAGCTGCCCGGGGGTGTAGGAGAGCAGGGGTGGATCCTGTGCCTACCTGCCGTGTGCCTGTAACCGTCCCTTCAGAGGGCTTCACCGGAGAACACGTGTGAAATAGCTTCTCGGACATCTGGCTCAAAGGAGGACCTTAACAAATGAAAGCCATGAACAACGGCGTCTCAGATATATGATCCCTCGGGGTGGCCCTGCTTTACCAGGCGTTATGGCATGGGGTGATGACAGGAGCTGTATGTGCAGCAGCCTGAGACTGACGCAGCCCGTGTTGGAGTGAAATTCCTGTCCTGCTGGCAACCTACATGGAAAGTCATTTCACAAACTCTTGCATGTTCCTAGCATGAAACCCAAGCCTGAGGGCAGGGGTATTCAGTTCTGCAGACTCTCTTAAAAGGCCTGGCAACGCCAGTTCCCCCTCCTGCAGGGTGATACTTGATCTTGCTCTCCCTGGGTGGTACCTGGGAAAGTCTTTCAGGCTCTCCCGCTCTCTCTTTGGGGAAGATGGAACGGTACCATCAGAACAGCAGCCTCCCTCAACGCGGACATGAAAGGAGTGGCAGTGATAGAAGAAGTTGTATTTTAAGTGTTTCAATGTGCAGGTTTGCCACTGGAAAATTTTTCTTAAATAGGGATATTTTCAGGGCCAGTAAGTCAGAGCTGAGCCTTGTGGGGTAAAACTAGACTGTACTAATTTGGAATTTTGAGAGTTGGACCTGGGCTGGGCTCTCATCTCTTGAGTAAACGGTTTGCTAAGAAATCAGTAAAGCTGACAAGCCCGTCGGAACGCATCTCGCCCGGTCAGAAGCACTGTATTACATCCTGGAGCTGTAGATGAGCTCCTTGTCTTTATAAAAGCAGACCCGGAAAACCGTCTGCTTGGAACTGTTGTTAATGCTCTGAATTGTTCATTGAACCTAATCAGCGAGCTGCATTTGGTTAAAACTTTTTGCAGTCTTACCGTTTCATGTTCTAGATTCTGTCCGGTCTAGCAAGGTTTTGATTGAAGTTTCAACATGAAACAGTTTTTCTCTGGAGGACTGAGTAATACCTTAATTGGTTTACGTCCCAAAGGATGAAATTAAATCAAAGTCCCTTTGTACTAAGAAGGGCCCTCTCCTTAGCTGGAGAATGTCTCATTTTGATTCTTGACAGTGGAGTGTTACCCCGATGTCTGATCCGCTGGTTTTTGGGAGGATGCATGCGCTGACGCCCTTGAATGCTAACGCATTCACAGCAGCACGCCATGTGCCAGCCAGCAGAGCTGTCGTCCATGTCACCGTTGTTGTTCTGGTGAAAGACTCTGGTGCTATTTGTGCTTTTGTAAAATGGTTCAGAACTGACTAGACTCATCTTTCTGCCCATTGGCAGCTGCCTGCCCTGTCTTATTAATTTCCATTGTTTTCTCTTGTTGGCTACAGAATTAGCTACATCCATCTGATGGCCCACTTTCGAATGCACACTCAAATCAAGAACCAGACAGCTGCCCTCATTAGCGGATTCCGTTCCATCATCAAACCCGAGTGGACCCGGATGTTCTCAACCCCTGAGCTCCAGCGACTCATCTCCGGGGACAATGCTGAGATTGATCTGGAAGATTTAAAGTAAGGAGCGAGTATGGGGGCGAAGGCGAAATTCTTAGGCCTCCTGGAAAGCAGGCTGCTCCTTTGCTAGAGAGTGTTCAGGGTCCCATCTCCAGATGTCCTCCTCTGCCCTGGTTCCTGGGTGAGTTGCTTTGGAATAAAAGCTCAGCCCTTTGTCTGCCTGGAGCCCAGGAAGTGGATGCAGCTCTTGAGGACCACAGGGCTCTCCGAAGTCTTAGGAAACAGTCACAGGATCTCCTGTCGGCTCCTGCTGGGGAGCAGCAAGGCCTGTGCACCAAGTCTCCACCCATTTAGCTTCCGGGGACCTGGGATTATTAAGGCGTGAACTGCTGGCTTAGGAGAAGCTGGCTGTTACCCAGGCCGGCCAGAACACAGAGTACCGCTTGTCTGACTAAATTCCCTGCCTGCCTGTGTCTGTCGGCGCCCGTCGGAGTGTGTGACTCAGCCCATTGTCTGCATTGTTTTCAGGAGGCACACAGTGTACTATGGTGGCTTTCATGGAAGTCACAGGGTCATTATCTGGCTCTGGGATATCCTGGCGTCTGACTTCACGCCCGACGAGAGAGCCATGTTTCTGAAGGTATTTTATACATTGCCTGTACTCGCGGTCATGCGTATGTAGATGCTTTTCATAGACCTAGGAAGCCAGATGGGATACATTACACCGGGAAAAAGTGAAATTATTAAGAGGTTCGCTTATCCAAGGCAGGGTACTGAGCCCAATTTATGTCTGCAGATGGCACCACACCTGCAGTTCCCTGTCCTATGTCTGCTCTTTTCTGCGGCTGCTGACGGCCCAGGGCAGGGTAGGAGGACACAGAACTGTTGTACAAGAGTGCGTGTGACTGGGCTTTCTTTCAAAGTAACGACAGTAGAGC